AAAATAGTCTAATAAATTAAATTGTACTACTCGAAGATGTATTTAAAGGGTTGGTTTTCGACTTGGTCGAAAAACAAACATTCGTTTTGCAATCTTGATTAACATTTACTTTGATCAAACCCGTCTATATAATTATTTGAACAATTGATAATAATAAAAACGTTAATTAAATATATTTTACAAACAGCTTCATAGATCTCGACTACTTTAATACTTACTTCAATCAAACCCGCCTATATAATTATTGATAAACATTCATTTTGCAACCTTGATTAACATTTACTTTGATCAAACCTGCCTATATAATTATTTGAATAATTGATAATAATAAAACGTTAATAAATATATTTTACAAACAGCTTCATAGGTCTCGACTACTTTAATACTTACTTCAATCAAACCAGCCTATACAATTATTGAATAATTGATAAACATTCATTTTTCAAACTTCATAGATCTCTATTAACACTCATTTCAATCAAACCCGCCTATATAATTATTTGAAAAATTGATAATAATAAAACGTTAATTAAATATTTTACAAACAGCTTCATAGATCTCGACTACTTTAATACTTACTTCAATCAAACCAGCCTATACAATTATTGAATAATGATAAACATTCATTTTTCAAACTTCATAGATCTCGATTAACACTCAAACCCGCCTATATAATTATTTGAATAATTAATAAAGCACTCATTAAATATATTTTACAAACAGATTCATAGATCTTGACTTTTAACACTTATCTTGATACAAGATATTCAATAATTGATCAGTATATTTTACAAACTTGCTTTGGAAGCTTGTATGTCGTCATACATCTTGTATTTAATGGTCTACTTTTCTTTGAATTTTTTTTTTTTTTTAGATTACACAACAAAATTATAGAATAAATTTAATCCAATGAAATGGTTGGTATCCCATATTTTGCACAACTTGAAAAAAAGTTGGTATATAAGTCATAAAATTGGTTTAATAGTATCGACTGAGGGAAAAGCATGCAATGTGAAGTACCGGGTATAGTCTCCTGTGTCCGGCTCCCTTAGGTGCAATGCCTCACTTTGGACCGGCTGTAAAGTCCCGCGTGTGGGGGAGGTGGAACTGACGCAGGTGGCTCATGTTGGGTGTATTGACCCTTCGTGACATGACCCTCCTTTTTGTTAATTTTTATTATTTATTTTATTTAGTTAATTAAAAGGAAACATTTAAAAAATTAGACAATTTTCGCTAATTGATTTGATTGGTCACATTTGTAATATATGAAGATCCATCAATCAATTATATTATAATTATATAGTAGCAACGACAACAACGAATCATTGTTTTTTGAGGATGATTAAGATCCAGTTGGTATAAGAGTAATCGAAGTAAGTTATAAGGACAAGATCTATGAATAAAATATTCTAACAAACATTTTATTAATTATTCAAATATTTATTAGTTTATGTAGGAGTAATCGAAGTAAGCTTTAAGGACAAGATCTATGAATGAAATATTCTAACGAACGTTTTATTAATTATTCAAATATTTAATAGTTTATGTAGGAGTAATCGAAGTAAGCTTTAAGGAAAAGATCTATGAATGAAATACTCTAACGAACGTTTTATCAATTATTCAAGAGTTGGTATAAGAGTAATCGAAGTAAGTTATAAGGACAAGATCTATGAATAAAATATTCTAACAAACGTTTTATTAATTATTCAAATATTTAATAGTTTATGTAGGAGTAATCGAAGTTTTAAGGACAAGATCTATGAAGTTTGCAAAATATTCTAATGAACGTTTATCAACTATTTAATAGTTTGTGTAGGAGTAATCGAAGTAAGCTGATCTATGAACAAAATATACTAACGAAGGTTTTATCAATCATTCAATAGTTTATACAAATTTATCCTTTATTTAACTTATATTTAATAACATCACTATAATCATTTACATATGTATATAGGAAGGAAGAAATGTACTTGACGATCTAAACAAAATGTCGAAGAAATTAGTTTAATAAATTAAATTGTGCTACTTGAAGATGTATTTAAAGGGTTGGTTTTCGACTTGGTCAAAGGACAACTCTCTTTCTAACTCTTCTCTTGACCATATCTCTCGATATAACTTCGAAACTACCTTGATATAACACGAAATGATTGTTGATGAAGTAAACGTGACCAATTTAAGAGACAAATTTATTTAATAAAACAAAAAATGATTTTTTTGAATGTTCTAGTAAATTTTCCATTGTTGTCATATCATCCCGTTGTTGGTTCAACATTACTCAAAGTTTAATTTAGTCGTTTTCTTACATTAAATATCGCATTATGAAATAATTAATAATTAATAAATATGACAAAACGTAACACGAATACAAATACAAATAATTCATACAAATAGTATTGATCGGAATATTTTATAAATTCCTTATATTACAAATTAAAAATGTGCAAAAATTTTAGAAATTAAAAATGACCCGAAGCCTATTTTGATTATTTTGTCAATTGAATAAAGGAAGAAAAAAAAACTTGATGTACAACAAACAAACACACATTTCTAATTGTTTAAATAAAATCAGATATATTGTATACTTTTTCAAGTTAGCAAGTGATTGGTAACAATAACCAATTTGATTTTAAAATTAAATACTAAAATTATCAAATAAATAATGCATGTAACAAAAAAAAATTTGTTATTATTGTTTTTAAAAAACAAGTTATAGAGCATGCATAATTATGATGCTAGCCAAAAATTGACAAAAATTTTTATTTAACACGATATTATTATTATACTTTTGTAATTAAAGTACAAAAAAATTCGTCTGATGGCTTGGTTTCTGGTCTAATATACCTACCTCTGTATAAAAAATGTTGAAAAACCCAACTCGACAAAATAGTTTGAATTTTGAGAAACAGCTTGGGCTAGAAACCTTACTTGATTGTCAGACCCATGTAATCATACGATTTTAATAATTTCAAAAACTAATTTTCGATTTAATGATTTAGCGTAACCATTTAATTTATTTATTATTAGTATAATTTACATTTGTATGATTGTAATTAGATATTATACATTCCTGATTGAATTCAGAAAATTCAGGTAAAATCAGAGTGCTAATTAGTTTGCAAGTATACGAATAACTCAAATTTATGTATCATGAAAGGAATATTACCAATTTGTCTGATACACACACTCTACTAAAAAACAATAATTATTACCAATACTAAAATATTCAATGTCAATACTGTTGCCATCACTATCATCACCTCATTTATCATTAGTACGATACATAAGCCGACGAAATAATTTTCGACGAAATGAACTGTCGACGAAATAATTTTCGACGAAATGAACTTTCGACGAAATGAACTTTCGGCGAAATAAACTTTCGGCAAAATGAACTTTCGGCAAAATGAACTTTCGGCAAAATGAACTTTCGACGAAATGAACTTTCGACGAAATGAACTTTCGACGAAATGATTGTCGACGAAGTGATTGTCGACGAAGTGATTGTCGACGAAGTGATTGTCGACGAAATAATTTTCGACGAAACAAACTTTCGACGAAATGAACTTTCGACGAAATGACTTTCGACGAAATGATTGTCGACGAAATAATTTTCGACGAAGTAAACGGGACCGATCCAGAGTCCCCTACCCAAAATTATAAATTGGTTAGTATCGAAAAAACAGAACATTTATAAAATGATTATACAAAACAAACACTATTTTACAACTTTCCTCTTAACATCAGAGCCCAAATGCAATTTCAGGGCCACCAACCCTGCTCTGAATTGTGACCTCCTGTGCTGGAAATGAGCTGCAGATTCTCTTAAGAGTTGCAACTTCTTGGTCATGGAGCCATCCTTATCCTAGAGGCAGGATCATTGCAGGCAACTTTTTGGCTAACATGCCAGCCTTCTCTGGTCCTGGTGCTGTGTGGGAAGATTAGTGAAAAGCATCCTTGACGATTGATGCAGTCTTGGTAAATTCCAGGCTCAAGCGCCTCCTGGAATTCTGTTGCATTATCATATCTTTAGGTCCTCAAGTCAGATTAGCCTTGTGTACATGAGGAACATGTGAGAATGACTGTAATGTTCAAGACAGCGTGCGTGCTTTAACGTCTGTAAATTTCCAATAATCAAACTTTGCATATCAAATTGTTTCTTTTTTAACAGTCAATGCTGCCTTGACATCTTGTAATAAATATTAATAATAATATTGATTACGCAAAGCAAAATAAAATCAATGAAAATCTTGTAATTACCCAGCAAGATCTGCTCCGCGTTTTGATTTCAATTATAATATTTATAATAACCAAAAAAGACAATGCAAATTAAAAAAAAGTTACCTCTGGTTAGTTATTAACACGTATTCTTTAGGAGACCCAAACCAAACCAAACAACAACACTCGCGTTTTGTCACCTTGGACTCTGTCAAAAAATAAATTGTTAAAAAACCAATAGGATAAATAATTAATGTGTACGCGTCGATCAAATAAACAAACTTTATTTTTTTATAAATTTTTATTAAAATGCCACCAAAGCGTAAACAAAATCAAAGAAATAAAGAAGAACATATCGAGAAAGAAAAATGGTAAGTGTTTTAAGAATGGTGGTGGTGGTTATCGCCCACCACTCGTCACTCTAGTTAAAAAAAATTTGACTTTTTGTTTTTTATTATTGTTTGTTGAATAGAGTTAGTAATGAAAATGAAAAGAATGAAAATTTCCACAACTGCAAAAGTTCCTTTACTTGGAGGAGTACATTATTACCTTTTTTTTTTTTAGAAAATTTTTCTTATATAAATAGTTATCTAGCTAATTGTCATATTTAATGAATGATAGGACTTAAATCTACCAAGTGGTAAAAAGATCAGTGATATATTGTTACCTATATATAAGGATGCCAATGAAAAGTGAATATTTTGATTTTAGTTGTTTATATTAATATAAACAATAATCTAATAATAACAATGATATTCAATATCTTAGTGACTTGATCAAAATTGGAGTACTTGACTTAGATAACCCAAGATATAAAGATCCTTCCTACAATGAATTACTAATTTATAAAAGAACATTGGATGACCTTGTTTCTTCCAAGAAAATTGGAAAACAGATATTTCAAAGGATAGATGAAATAAAGAAAATTGAAGGTTTTGAAGAAGCACAAAAAAACTTAAAGTTATGGTATAAAGATGATGATTTATTTTCAACAGATTTTGACCCCATGATAATGACATTTCTTCGAAGACTTGTTGAGAAAATGTAAGTTTTTGATTTATTTATCACATAAGAAAGCTGCATATGTTGGAATGAGTTGGAATTCATTTAATTTATTTAACTAAAAATTTTTGTCTTTTTAGTCTATGTTATTTTAATCTTAATTCAAGCTATTGGGAATTAAATCATTCTGAAACACATAAGCACAGTGGCTTATTTTTTGACATTTTCTGTGATCTCTTTTATAATATAAGTTATTCTATAGAGGGACATAAGTAAATATCTATATTATCTGAAATCTCATTTATTACTATTTATCATTGATTTATTTTTATTATCATCATCATAGGGGTTTACGGGCAAACAAAGAACGTCGTAACTTATTAAAAACAATTGATGAAAATGTTGAGAAGGCTCTTGTGCCAGATATTACTATTGAGGATTTGAGGAATAACTTAGAAGTCTTGATTGTAGAGCATGGAAAGCAACAGTTGAATGATAATAGAAGAAAGTTTTTCAATGATAAGTTCAAATCATGCATCTTACTTCATGACATGTTACGATCTGTTTACAATGAATTGAGATTTGTTAATGAAGAAATCAAAACATTTGATTTTAGTGTTTTTAGTGTGGTGACATCTGGTAGACTAAAATTATAATTAATTTATTAATATTATATATATATTAATATATAATATATGTCATTGTTATTTTTTAGGGTTAGAAATGAAAATTTTCTCGCTTTCATTAGTAGCACCAGAGCTATATGTTCTACAAAAAATTTCTCAGTATTCCTTACCCAGAACTATTCATAGTTTCAGTTCATTATCCAAAAATGCATATGAATTAATAAAATTCCGTGTAAGTGCATTTTAAATTTGCCAATTAAAATTTATTTTAACCATATATTAATTAATGAGTAACTTAATTTAGATATTATTTGACCAAAATGTTAACAATCTTTACAACAAACTAAATGCAATGTCATTTTTGACTTCACAACATCAACAATTAAAATGGATATTAGAGGTTTCAATTGAGGAGAAGCCAAAAACCAAAAAAAAAATAAAAGACAAAGAAAATTAAAAAAAATTTATGGTTTTTTTCTCCGAAGTAATGAAGACATATACAATTATTTTACTACATAGAATAGTACCAAGTTTTATTTTAAATACTCATAAAATAGCATTGTTTTATTTAATATAATATGTGTTAGATAATATTGTAAGGTTTTTTATCTTTTCTATGGGTTTAGTTATCGTTGCTAAATGTACTTGATTTTAATAAAGTCTGAGATAATTTTCAATCTTCTTCAGTTGGATATTAGATCTTTTTGTAAGCAAATGAATCCTTCCTTACTCAACCTAGTTGTTTATATCTTAAGGATACTTCTAATGATGCTGTAATTTTTGGGTTCCATTGTAGATCTGATATAAATTAGTTTCATATTAATATTTTTTATATAGAGATAATCCTATATTAATCCTGTTATGGTTTATATTTACCACATTCTGGTATGATGAAGGGAACATTAAAATTAACAAGTCCATAAGTTATGAATGAGCACTATTATTACTTTTTAAAATGTCATCAGTCACCCTGGTCAATTTTACAGCCACATCATAAAATCAGCCCCTCATTTACATCACATAACAGAATGTTCACTTTGGTTTTGTTGCAGTCTGCCCCAAATGATTTTTAACTTGTAACTTTTTGTTTGTAAAAGTATGTTTATTTAGTTCCTGCATTTAACCTGTCATAGCTGATACCTTAATATATCTTATCAGACAATAGTTTTTTGGCTTTGTTTTAACGAGAATTCGAGAAATAAATAAACCACTTAGTATTTAGTATTGGTATGTGGATTTTAAATGCGTGTGAAATTAAAATTGGTCAATCAAAATTTTGTACAAAACACCTTGCACAAAATTTAATTATAATTTCCTCGCACAGAAAATGCACTGAACGAACATTTTAACAAAATAACGCCTTTCTGTATATTTTTACAATAGATAGTAAAAAAATGATTACAATGACTACAACAAACAACTACCATCATTAGAAGGATCTTGTTCTCTGTTATTAATATATGTTGCACAAACTAGTAAGGGTTTTGTACCACATAAATATGTTGATCAAATTTTTATTTAAACTTAAAAGTATTAGTATATATTAGTATTCTTTAATGGTAACACAAAATAATTTTTTGATCATGTTCTTGCATTCTTATTGGCCAATTTAACGATCAGCTAAGTAAAAATAGTCAATCGACCAACTTTTAAGGAAGATTTTACGAAAACCACAAGGACAACAACCGAATTTTTATTCATTGATTAATCAGCTAAATCCCAAAAGACCATTTTCATATTAGGAAGAAATTTATATGTATTTACAGTTATTTAGAATTTGTGACAAAAGAATATGAATATTAATTTTTAAAATATGGCTTTGTTACATTGTAAAGATGATGTGTTTGCAATATCAAACCATTTTTCAGATTTAAAAATTCATGCTTGTATGATGAGTTATAACAGTTTTTATGCAAAGCGATTTCTAATTAAATGGATTTTAACAAGTAGAAATTAAAAGGTTTATAAATTTGGAAACAAAATAGCTAGAAAAAAAAATTCAAGTGTTTTTGATTAACAACGCTATTTTTTTTTTATTTTTAATTATATGTATTGACAGTTATTTAGAATTTATGACAAAAATTGCATTTTTAACATGAAAATATATCAATGTTAATAAGTATTTTTAAAATATGGCTCCGTTACATTGTAAAGATATGTTCTACAAGTTCAAAACATTTTTCAGAATTAAAAATTCTCATCAGTATGATGAATTATAACCGTTTATGTTTCTTTCATTATTTATTTGATTTCCCTACAAGTTGTGCGAGTTTTAAAGATTGTCTTTTTACAACCTTACTTTCTTAACCTTTATATATTATGTTTATACATGAGATGTAATAGTAGTACTGGCATAGAACATTGCCTTAAATTTACGGTCGATTTTACATTTGAAAAAGTCGGATGTTGTGCATACAGTGCTGCCAATTTTGGAGTAAATTAACAATCTTGAGAATTCATTTGAAAGTCTCATGTATACTCACATAATGACATAGATTTAAGTTTTGTTGACGATTTAAAATATCAAACAATTTACGCTTGAATTCCCAATAAAATATTGAATGAAATAAAAATACCACGACTTTATGCTTATACGTGTTTGCTGAATTATCCTTACGCAGGTATTAAAGGTCTTTATACTTCAGATTTTGGCTCATACAATCGTAAAAATAATATGATTTTATTGAATATAACATTAATATATTTATATTAATATATTTATTCACATAGTGAGATTACCTTTCGTCCTCTTAAACATTAAATTTATAAAGATGCTAATTATGGTGGTGGTGGTTAATCCAAAACTCGTTATTATAGTTGAATTAAAACAAACAAACAAACATTTTTCTTTAATGAGTAAAATATACAGTATAACATGGATCTTTCCAATAATTTGCCACCAGTTATTCTTGGAAAATTTTTTTTTTCTAAACATATTGTAAAGAATTAATCATAATAAAAAATAATTATTTTACTATTATGCATGCCATTTTCTAGAAAAACCAGAATGATGATTTTTTTTGTTAATGTTTTTATTGAAATTAAAAGGTCACTATTACAAAATTTGTCATGATGTCATTAAGAGCTGAAGGCATGACTTTCAATTGACAATTCTTTAATAAGCCTCAAAGAATGTATGTACACCTCTCATTAAATAATGCGTGCAAATCTACTAGTGACGAATGGAAAAGTTTCTTCTATTTTAATGGTAAAAATTGACGTCATGTTTTATATTGCTATGGAAAATCGGGTCGTGTGACTAACAATGGAATTTACAGAAAGAAAACACATGGGAAATGTAAATTTTGTATTAGTATGTATTCTGTATGGAAGAATGGATGTCAAATATTGAAAATATACGAGTATGTGCGAGAAAATGCATTCAGTATGTTTTCCATGTTTAACGTGCCACTTCTCCCAATTGTCATTAGATCAACAAGCTGGGGAGGAGAGAAAGTGGTTGCAAAAATACCAAAGTTAAAATGTGATCTTATTGGTGAATTCTACCCAAACCACTTGAAAATGGACTATATCACTTGCACTTAGAATTTAGTGAAAGAGAATTCTATTCATGGTGTAATCTCCATCGAGATCCACAAGAAATTTCGTAGTTTTTGTATATGAACGCTATTGAAAATGTTTATCCGAAAACCATCATGTTAGCTTTGTTTATTGGTTTAGAAAACCTGATCTAAAGCTGCAAGATTTCCGTTTCCCACGAGTATCACAATTTTGTGTAATAATAAAAACATGGTGATACAAATTAATTTCTTTTTAAAATGGTCTTTTGTAGTGTTAAATTTTTTTAATTAGTTGCAGTATGTATCATTTATTATTATTAATATTATTAATTATCATTATCATTAAATATTATGATTATTATTAAATAAAAAAAATAAATATTCTATATATTCTATACATTAAAAACAAACAATAATTTTACACATTATAATTCTAGGAATTCAGGATGTAAACTAAAATCCGGCAATTTACCCAACCTATTTAACCAATCATGCAGTGTTACCTCATCTAAAATGTGATTCTTAGTTTTACAAACACCTTTACAATCTATATATTTACTTACAAAGAATTCACTAATATCTTCTTCCAAATCATCAATCTCATCAATTGGAAAGCTTATGTCAATGGTATCTTTTGTAGTTGTAGCTGTTGTTGATGTAGTTGTTGATGTTGCGGTTGTTGATGTTGATGCTGATGTTGAGAATGAGGAAGTTATTGAAGCTACTGATGATGATGACGATAATGATGATAATGAAATTATTGATGATGGTGAAGTGCTTTGGGTTAATTGTGTTGGCGACGTATTTAATAATGGAATATCTCTACTAATATTCGAAGAAACCAATAATGATGATGGTGGTAGTAGTAGTGGTAGTAATGGTGAAAAATTCTTATTACTAAAACTGTTGTAGACAGCAACAGTTTTTTCAGGAATAGCCTTGCGTATAAAAGCACCAGTTCTTTGTATAGAACTAATTGATGATGGGTGAAATATAAATAATTGAAACACATGTGGCATTGCTCTAGAAGAATCAAAGAATAAGAAAATTAATAATTAGAATAAATTATAATGAGAAATTTTTCATTATTACAAAATTTTTAATTAATACATACTCGAAAATATTGAGTTCGACTTTAGTTGGTAGGTAAGAATGTTTTCTTGGAGACTCATTATTATTACTATTTTTATTATTATAAAGTTGTGTATGAGTTTTTGATGCTCTATGTGCCAATAGTACAGCTTCATCACGTAATCTTTCTCCATTGCCACACGTCTTTTTAAAAAAATAATCATTATATTAATCGATATTTATATTATTCATCACATTTCAATATAATTTCGATACTTACAATATAGAGTTGACCTAATCCACCTAAATCATCAGCCATTATTGGACTAACATATGGAAGATCTAAGGCAGAGTTGTATGCGTAATATTGGATTCTGTCTAATCTTTGTTGAACATCGGTATAATCCTTAATTGGATTAGCCGGCGATGCTTTATGCACAAATCCATTTGGAATATAATCAGTTGTTGAATTATCAAATATAGATGGTAAAGAATGATAAAGATCGACCCTATATTAAAAAGAATTTAATTAGAATAATAATTTTTTTATCAAATCAATCAAATCAAAATATCTTATGTATATATATATATATAGTTACCATGGAGACCAACATACTCCACCAACCGGTTGTGGAAGCCCAGCATCTCTAAGCAC